AAAACACGACCTGAAATTCCACTTAAACACTGTGAAAAAATGAGAGACCAGATTAAACTGTAAAAAGGTGACAGCATTTCATGTTAAAATTAAATGTGATTTGCTTGGGGTCATTTTTAGTAAATATTATGCTCATGAGAATGTTAGAAAACTGCTGAATATTTTGAGCCTTTAACATCTCCCATAGATGTGACTCTACTTTATTTAGACAGTAGTGGTAATCTTTCAGCCTAGCTCAGCAGACTTCACATTGAACTCTGTTGCTTCTACCATATTCACTTACAGCCACCCGTTTCAAAGAACTTCAGCCTGAACTCATTGAACTAGCTGGAAAAACTCTCTTTGACTTGAGTTCAAGCTCTAAATAGTCACTGACAATTTCCGAGTGACTAACAGTATGTCTGCACCACAGCCCAAGGTGTGACTGAAGCTTGTGTGACTGCCAGAGTTCGTTTGAGAGCTGAGAGTAGCACAGACATGGCAACACGGGGTTCAGTAAGGGCTTGTCTTCAGGAACCAACCACTGCAAAATGTTCTACGTCATCGGAAAAGACTGTTGTGAAACGTCAGCTGAGGGAGAATGTAGGAAAGTGCTGATGGGAGCAGGAATTGAGAGCCCTCTCACAACCTCTCAGGACAGCCCAGGATGTCTCTCCTCCTGACAGGGGCTTCTGCCTTGCAGAAAGAAAACGTAGCAGTGTCTCAGGCGAGCTGTATACCCAGTTAATAACAGGGTGTTTTGTTAACAGGTGAAAAGCCTTTCAGCTGCCGGTGGCCCAGCTGTCAAAAAAAATTTGCCAGGTCTGATGAATTAGTTCGTCATCACAACATGCACCAGAGGAACATGACTAAACTGCAGTTGGCCCTTTAGACAGTTCAAACAAGTGAATAAACCAGATGGGACTTTATGAGCTACTGCAAACTTTGTCAGCCATCTTCGATCACCTCTGTCAGAAAGCTGCAGCTGTCTCCGCATCCCATTTGAGACAAGTTAACTAAACTGCAGGACTGTGCTCAGCCCTGTCATCTGCTTGGACTTACACAAGTTCCTATTCAATAAGTTCAAGAGATTTTTTATTGGTAAATTTGTTAAAAAGTAAGCAAGATTGCTACAGTTTCAAGCTTACTGTAAACTGTGCTTACCTTTCACATCTGTCTCCAGATTTCTGGTTTTTATCTTCCCTTGGACGTTTCTAGGTACACACTGTTGTACCTTTTCAAGTCCTGCAGTGGGTGGGGTGATTCCTCCCCACTGAAGGTGAGCTTTTCGCTTACTGCACCGGTACATACGCTGAGGTTTCCAAATGCTAGTACAGCTGTCCTCACAGAATGAGATGGAACTATCACCTGAGATACTTTTGGTAAATTTTGTACTCGTACTGCCAAAGGGCAAGCTTTTAAACTTGGAAGCTCTGCTTTTGAATTTCACATCAAACCTTTTTTTGAAGGGCGTATTTCTAGAGCAGATAAAGCTACATGAACCAGAGCCTCTCTGTACAGAAAAAAAGAATCTTACCATTAAGTTAACTTCTTTTATAAATAATCACACAATTGATCCTCCAAAACTGTTTTCTTTGTCAATTAACTTCCTCTCTCTCACTTTTCTCTCTTTAATGTATAGGTTTAAATTTATTCTATCATGAGATGCATAGATCTCCTTTACACAAAACTAATTCCAATCATTGTAGACATTTGGGATTTGTTTACAATGTAAAGCCACACTGGTTATGTGGCTAGCAAGCTGTATAAACTTAAAACTGAACTTTTAATGGGGCTGGTCCAGGATCTCCATTAACAGATTACTCTTAAGATAAGTAACTTAAAAAGACTCTTTGTCAAGTATATGTGAAAAAGACATTATTAGTGTAAGGAAATATATTGTTTTAGGGTTTGGGGAGGAGGGGTTTATTATTTACTTTTAATTGCTTGAAATTGTGTGTATATATATATATCTGATAATGTATTGCTCTTAGACATCTAAAATTAGAAAGTGTATAAATATTAGGTGCATCACTGTTCTGATGTTGTTGTTGTTAGAAACTATTGATAACACTAAGAATGTAACCTGCATTTTTCACTGAGCTTTCAATTAAAGCCCATTCAAAGAGAAACAAATGAGAGTCCAACAGATGTCTTGTTTCATGTCTGGTATTAAATTTCAAATGCCCTGTCCAATAGTATCCTTTTTTTTTTTTTTTTTTTTTTTTTTGTATATAAAGGTACCACCAGCACTGATGACCACTAGTTAACCTGTCCAGGTCTTGACCACAATTTATCCATCTCACTTGGGAATCATACTGGCAGCAGCAAACAGTGTCAAGTTTCATATTGTGCTATAAAACAGTTGCTTCAATCATTTGCGTTCTTACCAAACTACTCCTTTTCTTTCAGCTCATAAGATCTGTCTAAGAACTTTATAGAACAGTAAAATGCAGTTTATAAACAGCAGTGCTGGCCTTCTATAGAACTGCACTGAAACCATAAGCACAGATAACTTCTTAGATTAGGATATCAGAGACTGACTTTTAAGTAAAAGTTAACTTAGAGTTGGGGTGGCTTAAATTTTTCAGCAGGTTGAAAAAGACAGTTTTTCGTAGATGATGAAGTGTGAAAATGAAGATAAAAAAATATTACTGTTTCTTTGTCATACTGCCTGCTTTTCTTTGGAAGTAAGTACAGCCTGCCTTGACGCCCTTTGACCTTGCAAAATATTTGTATCTCTTTAGTAAAAATCTTTAATGTATCTTGCCAAGCTTTTTTCTCTAATGTACACAATGGAGTTCTATGATGGGCTGAGCTTTCTCTCTTAAAGTGCAGCTGCATCGTCAAGAAAACTCAACAGTTAATTCTTCAAGTCCTCTTTTTCGCATGGGTATTGCATCACTGTTAATTACTGTTGGGGTACTGTGACTCATTTATATCAGTCAACTTTATCTTTTGCTGCCAAAAGACAGCATCTCTCTGGAGAAACTCTTAACAAGTGTGGCAAACATCAAATATTTGGAGTGAATGGTGTACATAAAACTGCACAGAATTAAAAAATAAAGCAACTCCTCCTGCTTTCTTGAGAGAAAAGTTCAGTTGCAATAACAGTGTCCTCTGATTTACCCAGCACTCTTCTGCAACTACAAAACAATCTGTTTTTCAGTCTGCACCCAAAATAGAGACCTGCCATGAGTGTTTATACTAAAAGCCAAAAAAAATAAAAATCAGCCTCCAGTTGTGCCTGCATTAGTCAAATATAAATAAAAAGTATCTTTTGTGAAATACAACCAAAACTCCACTGCAGCACAGGCTTCCAGCGGCCTGTAAATAACGACAGCCACAGGTTGGTGCTTAGTGAATCACATCATCATGGGAGATGGCTACAGACAAAGAAGTGGGGTTGATGAGTGACAGAGATGTCCTTTTGGTTTTGCTGTCACCACTTTTTCTATACTTATTGCTCCTCTGCTGTTTGGTGACCATTATGTCTCCCAGCCATCTGAGTACAGTAGCAATGTAATGTAAGTTACAATGGTAAGTACTTACAATGTCTAAATATTTTTTCCTAGTTATTTTACAGTCTTTTTCATGAGAGGCACTTTATGTCTCTTCCTTTCATTCCCTGTTTTCATCCTATCAGCAAGGTAAGCCACCTTCACTGAAGTGCTTTGCTGCAGGAATTCCTCCAAAGCAGCCCCCAGACGCTGGCCCTTGAAGTGTGCAATTCCTCATTTTGCAGCAATCAGAAACTGCTCAGAGGCCAAGTTTCTGTGAGCTTGACCTCCATATGAAAGATGAGAGGCTGCACTCTGTTATATCTTACAAGTATCCTTAGCTCTCTGGAAAATTTTCAATCCTGCAATTAATTGAGCAAATCTTTTATGCCTCTGCTCTCTGTTCTTAACCTGAAAGTAGTGACTGCTGTTATTTTGGCTGATGGTTAATGTCCTGCTGTGACTGGCACACTGTTCCTGTCCTGTAGCCTCCATAGCCCCCAGAACAGAGAATGTTATTTGTGTAGAAACACTTGTACTTTTTCTTGTCACTGCATGATGTACAAGATGCGCTGGGTAGGAAAGGGAACGCGATCTCTTCTCTCTCTGGCGGTGTCAGCCAGGATTCAAAGCTTCACTCGTGCCAGTGTTTTCAAGGTATGTGAATCCAGCAAAGTGTCCCTTCTACTTTAGGAAAACGTGAGAGCTAGCATTCCTGAATTGTAACCAGGTGATCTGCTTCTGGTGCATGTAATATTCTTTGGGGTATGGACTATACTGACTGAACAGGAGGTACAAAGGTGTCATCTTCCTGCAGTCAGGCAGCCAGCCTGAAGGCAGTCCATTCCTCAGACACATGCTGGCTCCTGTAAGGGATGGGGGGACTTGCAAAGAAGAAACTCTTTGCTTCTCTTTCCATGGTGGGTTGGGTGAGTTGTTAATTTTAGAAGCCACTCCAACCAGGCTTATTTGTTTCAGGATGTCAGTAGGATACATTTCACTGCTCCACCAACCAACCTTACAGCAACTGGGATCAGTTCCTGCAGATGCAGGTAGGTGCCTTAAACCAGCGTTTCTTCCTCCTTCACTTTCCCCAGACAGGCACTGAGAAAATCCCATCACATGCAGTCTTCTCCTGTCACCAGTGTCACTCGACAGCAAATCCAGTAGGGTGAGTAAGCTGCTCCTGGCACCTCGTCCAAAAGCCCAACAGGGCCCTGGAGTGGATTGAGGGGTGCCTACAGCCCCACACCTCACCTGCCTGGATGGAGCGTGAGAGGTGGGTACATGAAGGCAACCATCAAGCAGAAGTGTGCTGCCAGAGGACATGGAAAAGTTCCGCTGCTCAGTCCTGGTCACATACCCTCCCCCTGAGGCAAGGACGGGCAGAGAGAATCAGTCAGCTTTTTAGCTGGGAAACTCTTTCTTGCTTGGGGAAAATTCTCATTCCCTCTCCCTCCCCTCCAATTAACAAAAAGGTAATTAAAAGCAGTGTATGCAGTTCAGAATGGCACTAATGGACAAGAAAGACCAGCTGCGATATTTGGGAAGATCCAATAAAAGATTCATTAGGATTCTTTTAGTTATTGGAATTCCTGATGACACAAAGGAGCCTAATAAAACAGAAGACCTGGTCACTAGAGCAACAAGTTAAAAAAAAGCCCAAACCCAAATCCTAGCCCCACCAACACCATTCTAAAAATTCGACAATTAAGAGTAAAACCAGGAATGTAGCCAGAACTATTCCACCTCAAATAATAAACACAAGGATAAGTTGCCAAGTGAGGTCAAAGAAGCAAATGGTAAAGTGAGTTTAAGAGACAGCTAGACACTTTTATGGGGAGAGAGAGGATTGAAGGATACAGTGACAAAACTGGGGGTAGAGTTGAGATAAACCCAGAGGACAGGCACGGTGGGCCAATAGCCTTGGAGAGCGCTCTGAGCCCCAGTTGTGCAGCAGAGGAGCAGAGAGGGTCTTGGTGTTCGGGGGACTTACCAGGGCTGTCGGCAGCCTCCTGTGAGGGACGAAGGGAAACTGCCAGAATGGTTTGAAAGGGATCTGAGCCTGGCAGGCAGAAACAAGCGTGCTCTCTGTGCCCTGCTCTAAGTGCTGCCCTTGGTTTCACTAGTGAGATCCTCGGGCAGACTTGCTAAAAAGCAGGTTTCTGGAGCGCTTCTACATGCCCAAGCAGACTGTCTTCTTGCAAGTTCCCAATGCAAAGCCACAGCAAGAGACACCAAAAGAAAAAACTTTTTTTTTTTTTTTTTTTTTAATTTTTCATGTAAGACTACTTGTAATAAAGAAAGAGCAGAGTTGGCTATAATATGATTCAGATGAGGCAAGGACAAAACATACAAAGGTTATGTTGTTCTCTGCTTCTGCGGAACTTTG